GGGGTGGGGGGCCAGCGCAGATCCAAGGAATCCGAGAGGAGCTCCGAAAGTTTACGCTTGTGCTGTTTTTCTGCCACCTCGAGCCTTGCGCGCGCGCGGCCCTGCTCGCCTGTGCGCGGCCCCGCCCTGCGGCTGCCCCACGGACGGTTGGAAGTCCGGGGATCCTCTGACTTGGGATAGTCCAGACCCGGGTCAGCAGGAAACCGAACAACTGCAGTGCATGGACTCGTTTGCATTTTTTTGTTGGTCATATCGTAGTTGGCTTGACCAGCAATAGCGGACACGAGCACGAAAGCGGCAGCGCGCGACAAGGACCGGCCAGGTTAGCGTCACCACATCGGAGGGGGCTGGACGGGCAGGAGGGGAGGGAGGAAAGGAGGGGAGGAGGGGGGGCGAAGAGGGAAAAGACCGCTGCGCACAACGCGCGGCGAAAGCTCACTGGGCGAGGGCGCGGCCGCGGGGTGTGAGCCACCCGGCCCCGCCGTTAGGCGCGCGCGCCCGCGCCCTACAACGAGGACAGCGGGGGGACGGGGAGGAGGAGAGGAGGACAGCGGGGGGACGGGGAGGAGGAGAGGAGGACGAGGAGGAGGAGGAGGAGGCGGGGGGAGAAAACAGTGACTCCGTTTGCAGTGACTCCCGCCTCCTGAGCCCCGAGAGGGCTCTCCGTTGCCTCTTTCCGAAGGGCTCCGAGAGCGGTGCGGCGCGAGGCCGCGCGGTGCCCCCGGGGAAAAACAAACAAACCCACAACGACCTCACCGCGCGGCTCGTCGCCAAACGGACTCTGGGACCTGGGAGGCCCCAGTCTCCCTCCTCCTCCTCATCCTCCTCTTCCCTCCTCCTCCTCTCCTCCTCCTCCTCCTCTTTCCCCTCCTGTCCTCCTCCTCTCCTCCTCCTCTCCTCCTCCTCCTCTTCCCCTCCTCCTCCTCCTTCCCTCCTCCTCCTCCTCCTCCTCTACCCTCCTCCTCCTCCTCCTCCTCCTCCTCCTCCTGCTCCTCCTCCTCTTCCTCCTCTTCCTCCTCCTCCTCTTTCTCCTCCTCCGCCTCCTCCGCCTCCTTCTCCTTCCCTCCTCCTCCTCCTCCTCCTGGGACTTGGGAGGCCCCGGTCTCCTGAGAGACATCCTCGGAGCACGACCCGAGTCCCCCAAACCGGGCGGTCACCTCGAATCCCCCCTGACTCGCCCGACGGCGTGCTCACCGCGCCGCTCTGGGACCCCCCGAGCCTTTTCTCTGGTGCCCGTCGAGGAACTGTCGATGCCGCGCGGCGCCAACCGCTGTGGCAAGGATGTGCGAAAGATGTGCAGGCGGGAAGAGGCGGACTGGCAGCAGCCGGGAACGGCTCGGCTCTTCCCTCCGGCTCCCGTCGCGGCCCCAGAGGCGTGCGGCTTCCAGGGCGGCGACGTCGAGTGGGAGGACTGCCAGGGGGGAGTCCGACAGCCTCGGGTCAAGCAGTGACGAAGCGTCCTGGCTCGCCTACAGGCCTGGCTTGCCTGTGCAGCTCGCACTGTTGCCCCTGCTGGCCCATGTTGGCGCCCGCGGCCCTGGGCTGGGCCACGCGGGCTGCGGCCGGCCCCGTGGCACAATGGCCATCACCCTCCTCCTCCTCCTCCTCCTCCTCCTCCTCCTCCTCCTCCTCGTCGTCATCCTCTTCCTCCTCCCCCCTCCTCCTCCTCCTCCTCCTCCTCCTCCTTCTTCTCCTTCTCCTTCTCCTCTCCTCCTCCTCCTCCTCCTCCTTCTCCTCCTCCTTACCTCACCTCCTCCTGCTCCTTCTCCTCATTCTCATGTTCCTTCTTCCTTCCTCTTCTTCTTCTTCTCCTTCCCCTTCCCCTCCACCTCCTCCTGTTCCTCCTCCTCCTCCTCCTTCTCTTTCTCCTTCTTCTCCTTCTCCTCCTCCTCCTCCTCCTCCTCTTCTCTTTCTTCTTCTCCTTCTCCTTCTCATTTGCTGCTGACAGGCATCCACCAGCTGCCAGCAGCAGAGCCAGACTGCATCAACGACGCCCTGCTCGGTACCCTCTTCGTCGTCCTCCTCCTCCTCCTCCTGCTCCTCCTCCTGACGCCTTCCCCCTCTGCCCTCCTCCAGATGCTGCCCCCTGCTCTTGACGCTGGGCAGACACATTAGCCGAGACTCGAAGGCAGGGGTGAAAGGCTGAGTGGCCGAGGGGATAGCACTTTAGATGCAGTATGACTGTAACTCCACCCCCCTTTCTTGCCTCCGCCTCGCTCTCGCTTGCTCGTTGAGCAGAGGGAGAGATGTGCCGCGGGTGCGGGGATGGGGGGGATCTGGAGGTGGCAATCTCCAACACAAGGTTTAAGTCGGGCCTGTGCCCCTATTTTGCACGACAAACTAAGAATACCCCACAAATCTTCAAACACTGAGTCAACAAACACTCAAAACATCGTCCCCAGACTAATTTTCGACTATCTTTGAATTTTCCGGCTGAAGAGGGACAGGCCCGACTTGACACGAGGTCCACAAAAAAGGCGCACGCCAGCAAACGGACTGGCAGGCAGAAGTCACAGGACTTGCGAACCGACGCGAGATCTGACATCCTGGGGGCCCACAAAAGAGGCGCACGCCAGCAGACGGACTGGCAGGCAGAAGTCACAGGACTTGCGAGCCGACGCGAGTATCTGACATCCTGGGGCTGGGCCTCCTGCCGGGCCGGCGTCCTTCTCTCCTCGCCCTTCGCCCTCCTCGCCCTCCTCGCCTCTCCGATCCCTGCGTTCGGGCAGTGGCAGGACCGGGCCTACTGCTGGTGACTCTTTGGAGACTTTCCCCCCTGTAGAGGGTGACAGGCCCGACTTGAGCTTCCTGGGGCCTGGCCAAGTGCGATGCGTGCAGTGGGACGCCTCCCCCGCCCCTGCCCGCTCACTGACGCTGGCGCTGCCACCGCGCGAAGAGCACGGGCTGCGGCAGAGCTGGCTGGGTGACTCTGGCGTCTTCTTTCGGGGAGACGCAGAACTTGGGATGAAAAGCGCACAACGAATGCTCAAACATGCTCGAATGTTCGAAAATCGTCACCAGACCATTTCTAGACTCTTTTTGAATATTCCTCCCGTAGAGGGACGTGCCCGACTTGAGCCTACCCAGCTGGAACGTACACCCTCTCAGCCAGGTGGATTCTCCCCTCCCTCCTTCCGGGGAGACCTGAGACTCGGGTACGGGGGACTCGGGCTGGCCTGGCGGGGCCATCATCAAAATGACGAGACCCAGTCTGAAAATTGACGCGAGCTCCCGCTGCAAGCGCCCCACGAAAACCGGACCGTCAAACTCCAGGACGCGCTCGCCAAAAAACGCCGGCAAACCCAGGTTCCGGCTTACTCGAGTCTTACGCTTCCCCGAATCTTATGGCTTCGGGGCCCTACCACTCACCCCAGACCCCCGACGTCGTGACTTTTTCGCAACGTCGACCCCCAGAGGTCTGGACTCCTTCCCCGGGACCGGTTCTGCATCCCGGGTCGTTTTTTGACGGTCCCGAGGCCCGGCAAGGGCCCCCGGAGGCCGAAAATGGGGGAAAACCTCCCACCCTGACTCCGGATCCGCCCTACTTTGGGGAAACTCGTAAGTAGGGCTTGGAATTTCCGCCTTACTTTTCAGGCCCCGCTGATGCCAATTTCCGCCCTACTTTTCTGTTGCTGTTTCCCCCCCACTTCTGTGGATTTCCGCCCTACTTTATGTTGGGTGCAGAAATTTCCGCCCTACTTTTTCGGCTTCTTATATGTGGATTTCCGACGCAATTCCAAGTTGGAAAAAAAGCCAAAGTAGGGCGGATCTGGAGTCAGGGCATCGTGATTTTTGTCACAACGCGAAGGGGGTCTGGGCCCGGCCCCCTCGCCCGGGGCCCCGGCCAACTGCCCCGCGCGCGCCCCCCGCGGGCAGCGGGCAGCTGCGGTGGCGGAGGGGGGCGGGCCCGGGCCTCCTGCCGAGCCCGGCGCCCTCCGCCCCGCGGGCCCTGCCCCCGCCGACCCCCCTGCGCATGCCCTCCCCTCCTCCTCTCCTCCTCCTCCTCCTCCTCCTCCTCCCTCCTCCTCCTCCTCCTCCTCCTCTCCATCCTCCTCCTCCTCCTCCTCCTCCTCCTCCTCCTCCGCCTCCTCCTCCTCCCGACGGGCCGCGCAGGGCGGAGGCCTCGGGGCAGAGGACTCGGCGACCCGCCCCTCGCCCTCGGCGGCACGCTGGCCCGACGCCCTCCTGCGCTGCCGCAGGCCCCCAGACATCTGGCGGCATTGTGCGTGCGTGCGTGCGTGCGTGCGTGCGTGCGTGCGTGCGTGCGTGCGTGCGTGTGTGTGTGTGTGTGTGTGTGTGTGTGTGTGTGTGTGTGTGTGTGTGTGTGTGTGTGCGTGTGTGTGCGCGTGTGTGTGTGCGTGTGTTTCGGCTCCCGGGGCCCCCTCCTCGAGCCTGGCTTCTCGCCCCGGATCCATGCCTGACGGAGCTCCGGCCCGACGACGGGCCCCATGAGGCAAACACATCGAAGAGCAGAGCCCGGCTCTTGAAAGCACCGATCGCCGAAGACCCAGGAGCCCGACCTCCCACACGCGCTCCTGTTCTTTCGATGCGTAGATCCCTGGTGGTCTGGACAACCCTCCCAGGACAGGCGTTTCATCCTGAAGCGTCTCTTGACGGTCCTGGGGCCCGTCGAGGGCCCGCGGAAGCCCTTCGACGTGTGGATCCCCAAGAAGGCCTGGACAACTTCCCCAGGACCAGCTTCTCATCCCGAGCCTAGCAACAGATTTGTTTTTGCTTCGCGGGTCGAGAGCGCACCTCTTCCGGTCGAAGCTAAGCGGGCCGCGCAGAGCTTGAATTACGCCAGAGAAGGGGGAGGAGAAGGGGGGCGCAGCCTCAGAACGAGGCCGGGAGGAGGCAAAAAGCCTCGGAACCAGGCGGCGTCCAGCAACAGAAACACGCCCCCTCTCCAGATTGCTAGCCTCGGATCCCTGGCCTCGCTGCCCTGGCCGAGCAGCGGCAGAGGCGGCAACGCCGGCGACGGGGCTCGGGCGGCGCCCGTCCTGGGCCCCCTGCTGGGCGGGCGCCCCACGCTCGTCAGGAGGCTGGCGACCGGCGGAGCCCTCCCGGGCGACGGCCCGCGGATCGCGTCGCCGCCGCCGCCGCCGTCTTCGTCTCCTCCCTGCTCTGCTCTCTCCTCCTGCTCCTCCTCGTCCTGTGACTCTCTCCTCCTCCTCCTCCTCCTCCTCCTCCTCCTCCTCCTCCTCCTTTTCCTCCTCCTC